GTGCTACTTGGAACTTTTTGCTCACAGTAGCTGAATCTATAGCAACAACAACGTCCAGTACAACAGAGTACCCTTCGAGTGCTCTCAGCTGTAACAACTACTCTCGCTTCCCTGAGTGACGGTAAACACAGCTTTTGTATAAAGAATTTACTTGCACCCTTGTTATTAACGCAAGTTTCACTTGTATATATTTCTCTTTTTGAACTTGTGTAAAGCAAAGTGTCTAAGGGTTTTGTTTTCATTAATTATTCATTTTGATTTCGTTGTAATATTAAAAGTAATTTTTGTTATATTAAATGTTTAAAGTTTTTATTCGTTCTGGTTTTTACCCACAACTCTCACACTACAGAAGACACAAGCAGTTGTCTTTGTTTTACTACTATTATTATGTGAGACAAGCACAAGACCTGTCAGAATAGCCACTGCTCTATTCCAGATTCTCGTCACTATATATAATATATAAAAGTACGAACAAGCTTGAATGGTCCCCGGGCATACATGCAACTGAAAACTCAAGTCACCCCAGAAGTGACTCGAACCCATACTGCCAGGAGCACTATGCATCTGGTGTACAGGGCACCTAATCCACTCGACCATCACGACCGGACAAAGCTGATGGTAGCCTATAATATATTATATTGGGTAATATATTACGTTATATTAGGCAAATATAACGGCTGTCGTGATCTTATAATGTAAGCTTTCTATGCTTCGATAAAAGCATAGAAAGCATAGCATAGAAATGTGTGATTTCTATGCTTCCATTTGCTCTTCTTAATACCGATACTAAGAAATAGTTACCAAAATTCATGGTAAAGAAACCATTGAAGGATTATTTTCTACGATTTTTGAAGGATTTATTGAAGGATTGATTTTCTACAATCTTGCAGCAAATAAATTATTCTATAACTATCAGTCATACTTCTGAAGATGTGTTGATTAACAGTAAAGTGCTTAAGTAACTTCTTGTATGTTTCCTTCGTGGTTATACACTGTCACGTTATTCATTACGTGTTAATTGATTCGTGATTAATTAACCCCCCCCCCCCGCGCGCTCACAGGCATTCATACTAAAGTTTATCAGCAGACGAGGAGTCACAATAACGTGGCTAAAGTATGTTGACCAGACCACACACTAGAAGGTGAAGGGACGACGACGTTTCGGTCCGTCCTGGACCATTCTCAAGTCGATTCACTTGAGCCACTAAAGTTTATCACTATTAAATCTCCACATACACTGTCGCATACACGGCTAATACAAGGGGACCGAGATGGTAATACATGCATGAGGTGGGTGAGAGAGAGACTGCTACCCTGGGGGGTGTCACCCTGGGGGTGTCACCCTGGGCAAAACACAGGTATTCGAGGTGAAAGTATAACGAGGCTGCCCGAGGGTATGGTCGCTTCCTGCCCCCTCCCCCTCCCTACCCCTCTAAACCTGTCACTCAAGATGCCAAATCCATCTCGTCGTTCTTTTCCGGTCAACTCGAGCGAGATCTGATATCCTTCTATGACCAAGATTTCTCCACGTAATTGTCCATGTCTCCCGCGGTTACTTTTTCAATAGTAATGTTAGAAATGAGTGTGATTGGACTGTCCAATCCAGCACCAACATACGGCTGCCCGTTTTGCATAGCCAATCCCGGGCCGCTGTCGCTCCAGATCACACAAGGCGTTTTCATTAACAAACAATTAGACTAGCACCGGTGTTTCCTGCTCGAACCTAAAGAGTACGAAGCAGCGATAACAAAGTTGTATCCTGTGCCGGTCGGCCGAGCGGAAAGCACGCTGGACTTGTGGTCCCGGGTTCGCCCCCGGGCGCCGGCGAGAAACAATGGGCAGAGTTTCTTTCACCCTATGCCCCTGTTACCTAGTAGTAAAATAGGTACCTGGGTGTTAGTCAGCTGTCACGGGCTGCTTCCTGGGGGTGGAGGCCTGGTCGAGGACCGGGCCGCGGGGACACTAAAAGCCCCGAAATCATCTCAAGATAACCTCGATATGCATTTTCCTTCACACACACACACACACACACACACACACACACACACACACACACACACACACACACACACACACACACACACACACACACACACACGATACTCCCCCTTCATATAGTCTAGGGCAGCTGTGCAAATGCACATGTACTTAAATGTGCTAATAAAAAATGCATTTCCCTCAGTAACATGCATTACACGTGACACATATGGCCCACGTCTACCAGGAGCCTGGTACTGATTTAACAAAAGATTATAAATGTTAAATTCAGTTGATCGGTAATGTGCTAGTAGCGTGACTCATCAGGGGGCCCAGTGACTGGGAATTTAGTGCCCAACCGGAGGAGACTCCTAGGTAGAGCCGGACCGGAGGAGACTACTAGGTAGAGCCGGACCGGAGGAGACGCGTGGCGTCCCACCACCTTGAAACAAACTAGAAATTCAGCATGAGAGGGACCTGGCAGTAGACACGCCAAATATATTAAGAAATGTTTATGTTACGGTAATAGTCTGTTTAGCAGTAGATCCTTCCTGTTCCTTTACCGCCTACTTACCAGCATGCTACAACGTCAAGATTCAATAACAATACGTACCACAACGTATTGTCTAGACACCACAACGCCTCCACCCTACAGTACCCGAGCCCCCAACCCGTTCTCGCAAATTTAATAAGTCAATATTGACTTATTAGTTGCGTGCATAGGTGACATACTAAACATAATAGTTTCCCTTGAAAAGCCTTATAGAAAACACCGACCTTACCTAACCTACTTAGTATGTTAAAATAAGCATCTTATAGCTTCGTAATTACAATTGTTACTTAACCTATTATAGGTATAGGTTAGGTAATAATTGTAATTACGAAGCAATAAGATGCTTATCTTAACATACTAAGTAGGTTAGGTAAGGTCGGTGTTTTCTATGAAGCTTTTCAAGGGAAACTATTATGTTAAGTATGTCACCTATGCACATATTTAATAAGTCAATATTGACTTATTAAATTTGCGAGAACGGGTTGAGCCCCCCACACACCCGCCCTCGCGTTGCTTGACCAGACACCACCAGCAAACTACCGCTCTGGTCATTATATCTCGCCGGCTTCTAGTCTCCAGGGGTCAGATTCACGAAGCAGTTACGTAAGTACTTACGAACGTGTACATCTTTCCTCAATCTTTGACGGCTTTGGTTACTTTATTAAACAGTTTACAAGCATGAAAACTTCCCAATCAACTGTTGTTATTGTTATAAACAGCCTCCTGGTGCTTCGGAGCTCATTAACTGTTTAATAATTGTAAACAAAGCCGCCAAAGATTGAGAAAAGATGTTCAGGTTCGTAAGTGTTTGCATAACTGGTTCGTGAATCTGGCCCCTGCTCCGGAATTCGCGCCACTATGACGTCACGCCCCATATAAGAAGCCCTGCCAGCGTCCAAAGCACACAGCCCCGCTCCTGTGCCAGGTAAGTTACGGGCTCACCATAGCCGGTGCTACTTGGAACTTGTTCCGAGTAGCTGAATCTATAACAACAACAACGTCCAAAGTAACGAATTACCCTTTTAGTGCTCATTTCTGTAGCATCTACTCTTCCCCCCAAGGGTGACGGTAGACGCACTTAGCATTTTTGTATAAAGTATTACCTGCACCTTTGTTATTAACGAAAACTTTACATGTATATATTTCTCTTTTGATTGTGTAAGCCAAGTGGATAAGGCGTTTTGTTTTCATTAATTGTTACTTATCATTTTGTGTAAAAATTAGTTAATTTTTGTTATATTAAATATTTAAAGTTTTTTTTGCCCGCAATTAATACACCGTAGAGGACCTAAGCAGTTTTATATTGTTTTTATTAATGTGCGCTTGGCACAACACCTGACTGAATAGTTACTGCTCTATTCCAGATTCTCGTCACTGTTTATCTCTTAAAATTAACAAATCCACAAGGGCCATGACGAGGATTCGAGCCAGTGTCCGGGAGCATCCCAGACACTGCCTTAATCGACTGAGCTACGACAGGGTAAAAAGGGTTGAAACCGAAGTTCTACTGAACTTACTGAATTTGTTCATTTGATGCATCACGTTAATGTGATATCTGTGTATCTTTTAGAATGTTCGGTAATATGCTTATTGTTTGTGACTTGTGTCTATATATGTATGTGAACACGTTGTATTCAACGGGGTGAGAATAGCTTCAGCTATCGCATCCATTTGTGTGTATTTAGAACTCAATACACTTTTTTCAATACAGTATCCAAATTATGTCCCACGATGGCTAAATATATCCTAACATCTGCAGCTTATGTATGGACAGCGTTTATACAAACTCGACACCAAATCTTAAATCACATTCATTTATACACACGTATATATATATATATATATATATATATACATTTATATACAAAGATTGCCAAATCATGGGGAAAAGGAGAGAGAAACTAATCAGTCAATTAAAAGAGCCTTATTGGCACACCCCCCCCCCCCCCCGAGCGACCAAGCCCACAGCTGATCAATGGGTAGTTTGGCCCACAGAAATCGTTCACTCCGCCCCGGTCCCCCCCCCCCCACCCCCCAATTACACGGTTACTGGCCCTTAATGCTATGTAACGACGTTCTATCTCCACTGACGTTGTCACTCTGGCAGTCCTCCTCGACGTCGCAACCACTTGTCTAATTCTACCGAATAACAACATATGGGGATCGAACCCGAATAGCTGAACTTCACTTAATAACACACTATTCCATAGGAATAGTTTCGTCCACGAAGTGACTTACACGACTTGACATTTCTCCCTTGACGTGTGATCCATTACTGGACATTTTAACCTAAACAACACAGAGTCGATTATATAACAGTTGTAGAGGTTGTCTAGTTAGCTACATCACCTGAATTAACGTTATCTCCACTACAACAGTTATCATAACCCGCCACAACATGATGAACACTTCCCACAACCCTGGGGGCGCTGGCCTCTCTAATATTGCTATGGAAACAAAAGGAACTTACCTCAAAATGTCGTATTTCTTTCCCAGGAAGACCTGTTCACACCTGTAATGGCAGATAATCGATGTATTCATATATATAATTGAATCCTCAAAAACTACAAATATAATCAACATGAAATATTACATTATATATATATATATATATATATATATATATATATATATATATATATATATATATATATATATATATATATAAATACATATATATATAATACATAAAATATAATATATAAATACATTATATTTATAAATATATATGAAGATGGTTAGGTAAAGCTTGAAACAGGCTTGAGGATGCACTTGTTTACCTTACAAGTGCGTCGTGTAGGGCGACCAGACCGGGGCAACACTGCCCCAAGTCTTCCAAGACGACGTAAACAATCAACACGGGACAAGAAACACTGAACGAGGGATTGGAATTGGTCCACAAGCACGTCATTTGGCCAGGGTAGTTATGATGTCTTGGACTAGTACTTCCTGGGGGTAACGCAACTCTTAAGAGTGTCAGCATTGAGGCAGTACAAGTGTGCTAATCTCTCGTCTCGTTCATAACCGCAATGTACTTTTAGGGGTCTTGTTAGGTAAGATTTATTTAAATATCGAAACTCCAAGGAGTGCCGGACCAACCGGGCTGTGGTGGGTATGTGGGCCTGCGGGCCGCTCCAAGCAACAGCCTGGTGGACCAAACTCTCACAAGTCGAGCCTGGCCTCGGGCCGGGCTTGGGGAGTAGAAGAACTCCCAGAACCCCATCAACCAGGTATCGCTTCCCATTAAGTCGTATCATATTACTAAATTCAGGGGAGACAAAACACATTTTCCAGGAACACTTTAGTCTTCCGTCACAGCACGCCCTCCACCAACCATAGGTGGGGCCTAAATGATGCAATCCACGCTGGTGAAGGGTTCAGGGCTGTTCGTTTCGACCCGTTCATCAACCCGCTCGAAGCTAGGCTTCATCACGCCCCCAGCCTCAAAACACTGGCTGGCGGCGTGTTTTGTTTTAATGTTTTACTCTGTTCAAAGCGAGTATCGTAAACACTAAACCTGTTCTTGTAAACCCTGGGCAAATGCTCGTTCATCCAACCACCAAAGCTGTTGTTTATGAATGAAAAACTCTACACGCGACTCGCCACTGATGACGTTCGGACAATTTATGGAAGAGCGCCTAGCTCACGTCCTCAGCTCAAATCCCACCTCTCGAAATGCTTTTTTTTTTTTTTGAGATATATACAAGAGTTGTTACATTCTTGTACAGCCACTAGTACGCGTAGCGTTTCGGGCAAGTCCTTAATCCTATGGTCCCTGGAATACGATCCCCTGCCGCGAAGAATCGTTTTTTCATCCAAGTACACATTTTACTGTTGCGTTAAACAGAGGCTACAGTTAAGGAATTGCGCCCAGTAAATCCTCCCCGGCCAGGATACGAACCCATGACAAAGCGCTCGCGGAACGCCAGGCGAGTGTCTTACCACTACACCACGGAGACTGCAAAGAGACTGCTTCACGCACGTACCTGAAATACAAACAATTACAAAAAGAACCTCAAGGCCTAACTTAACCTCATCCTAACTATACACGAAATTATAATATACAATACTAACACTTTTTATATTAAAAAAAAATCCGATTCACAGTACATGACCAATGAGTCTTTGGGGTTGGCAGCAGCAGGTTCTCGGCGTATGCCTGTTGTGAGTCTTGGACGTGAGTCTTGGACGTGAGTCTTGGACGTGAGTCTTGGACGTGAGACTTGGACGTGAGACTCAGGAGTGAAGTTGATGGTTAAGCAATTGTGGCGGCATTAATAACCTTCCAGAAGTTGATGAGCCTTAAGCCCAACACCGAACCAATGTTGACAAACAGTTTGGCGAGTTATCACCAGTTTGTAAACAAGAAAATTGTAATGAAGCCTCCACGAGTGCATTAATTATTCGTTCCTTCTTTAGCATGGATCTAGTAGCATGTACTGTTGTTATCAGTGAAGAATTAAGAGAAATCTGGGCAGGAAAGGTCACCGCTTCTCTGCATGGCTATAAATGTTGACTCAGTTAAGCATTATTTAGGAAATATCAGTCGAAGACAGAACTTTTAACTGCTGTGGCAAAATGATATACAAGTCATCACTTTCAACTCTTCGTTCAGTGTTCATCATCATCATCCTGTGCTGAATGGTGACGACGTATTGCAAGATGTGTGGGATACAAGCATGTTGCAGGCAGTGTTATATACTGTATATGGATATTATGTGTAATATTTTGTATGGTGATTGTATTATATTTGTAGAGAATGAGTATTAAAAATTATAAATGCAGTTCACTTAAGCATATGAATAATTCGCTTTCAGGTCATTACAGGTAAGAAATTAGTTTTTTCTAGACACAGAAATTTATTAATTAATTTAATTAATTTTTAGGTACGTTGTTATGTCCCGTTTTTGAAGCCTAAGAACCCACGGTGTGAGAAGCGCTCATCATGTAGGTACTCATCACACTCTGAATGGATAATTAGTTTAGTTCAAAAAATAGTTTTCAAAATAATTAGTTAAGCAAAAAATAATGACAGTTCGGAAAAGTTCCCCACAGAGCTGGAAACTTGTTTCCATATATCCATATATCAGTAGGATATTGGGATAGATATATCTATATATTCCTTCACATTATACGCGCCATTATTCCGCGCCGAAAATGTCTTTTTGGTAAATAGTTAATTTTGACCTTTTTTTCAGTTTCAGCAAAATACGTAACGAATACTTTTTGAAAGTTAATTAAATTGTCTACAACAATAGTTTTTAGCATGTTCTCTGTAGGGGTAAAGCTTTACGATGGAAAGTATTTTAATTATCATTAATTTCTAGGTAATTTTTCTACTTTTGGTACATTAAAATGTAGTTTATTTGCTTACCATAATAGTCTATAATGGTCAGCTTATAATATTAGTAAATCATTGAGCATTCTCAGCCCAACCACTTGGGCTGGATGGTAGAGCGACGGTCTCACTTCACGCAGGTCGGCATTCAATCCCCGACCATCCCCAAGTGGTTGGGCACCATTCCTTTCCCTCGTCCCATCCCAGATGCTTATCCTGACCCCTTCCAAATGAAATGTAGTCGTAACGGCTTGGCACTTTCTCCTGATAATCACCACCACCTCTATTTCTCAGGACTGGACAGCTGCTTGACTGTATCACTCCTGTATTGCAGCAAATAATAATACTTGTGAACAAATCTACAAATTATTAACTCTAAATTATTAATTTTTTTTAACTTCCTTCCCACGTATAACACCTACCATATATTCCTACATTCTTATAACATTCGTACTAAAATTATTTATTGAATCTTTTCGTTTGTGTGTGTACTTATCTAGTTATGCTTGCGGGGGTTGAGCTTTGGCTCTTTGGTCCCGCCTCTCAACCATCAATCAACTAATGTACAGGTTCCTGAACCCACTGGGCTCTATCATATCTTCACTTGAAGCTGTGTATGGAGTCAGCCTCCACCACATCACTGCCTAGTGCATTCCATTTACTAACTACTCTGACACTGAAAAAGTTCTTTCTAATGTCTCTCTGACTCATTTGGGCACTCAGCTTCCACCTGTGTCCCCTTGTGTGTGTACCATCCGTGTTAAATAATCTATCCTTGTCTACCCTGTGTGTGTGTGTGTGTGTGTGTGTGTGTGTGTGTGTGTGTGTGTGTGTGTGTGTGTGTGTGTGTGTGTGTGTGTGTGTACTCACCTAGTTGTGTCTGCAGGATCGAGCATTGACTCTTGGATCCGTGTGTGTGTGTGTGTGTGTGTGTGTGTGTGTGTGTGTGTGTGTGTGTGTGTGTGTGTGTGGTAGTGTAATTGAATAGCCAATTGTAATAGAAAATGTATTAGTCTATCATACAACCGGATAAGAAGCACTTCGTACAAATGACTGTAGAATTACTCCGATCTGTATAGCGTGCCAGCATCTTGCGCAACTCTACTTTCCTCTACACCCACTTTCCTCACCCCCTTGCCAGCTTCCCTTTCACTTGAGTGTGGGAGCTCCTCTCTTCCTTGGTGTTGTCATCCGCCGTGACTCGCCCGTCCACGTGATGGCGAGGCTGATGATGTCCGCATCATACTGCAGAGCGCCCGTCTCACAGCGCGTAGCCTAGCGCGTGTTGGTATAGGAACTCCCTTGGTAGCGCCTCGGACGGTAGGGAGCCCCTTGGTAGCGCCTGGGACGGTAGGGAGCCCCTTGGTAGCGCCTCGGACGGTAGGGAGCCCCTTGGTAGCGCCTGGGACGGTAGGGAGCCCCTTGGTAGCGCCTGGGACGGTAGGAAGCCCCTTGGTAGGACCTAGGAAAACTAGGTACCCATACCATGGACGTATTGCCTCGGGGCCTGTGAATCAATCACCGGGTGACAAGAATGAAGCACCATATATACGTCTATAACAACCCCACCAATGAGTATATATACACAATGTAACCATCGGTTCAGTGTATAAGCAGGTAGTTAGCTTGACGTATACGTGGTGAGCAAGCGAGCTGTTGACTAACAACCCAAGAGGTTGATAGGTGGTAAGCCCAGCGACACATCTAAACACTTCAACCGACGATAGAAGACACAATAGATAGATACGATAAAAGTACCCCTGCTACCTCTCAATTTCCACTGTGCTAAACCTTATCACAGTTTCGAAATCTTGAAAGACAATAACATTAATCTTAATTAATTTTTATTAGCTTACAAAGCAAATATTCTCTAGTTATGGAAGTATTAGTTCCAAACACGTAGATTTGTTTCAATTAATCAGGAATGAACGCATAAACAGACTGGAATTGCCTTACCCACACTGGAAGGACCAGCCAATAGCCATACCCATTACCCAGACCCCAGACTGGAAGGGACCAGCAAGTAGTCATACCCATTACCCAGACACACACTGGAAGGATCAGCCAGCAGCCATTACCTAGACCCAGACTGGAAGGGACCAGCCATACCCAGACCCCAGCCATTACCCAGACCCACACTGGAAGGGACCAGGAGCAGCCAGCCGGGCAAGGCT